TGTATTATATTTCTATTCTACATTCTATTCTATTCTAATTCCTCTTCTATTCTACTATTGTATTATATTTCTATTCTACATTCTATTCTATTCTAATTCCTCTTCTATTCTACTATTGTATTATATTTCTATTCTACATTCTATTTTATTCTGTTATTTCCTGTTCCGTTCCGTTCCATTCCTCTCTGTTCTATTCCACTCTATTCTTTATTCCAATATTCCATTCTATTCTAATTCTTCATTCCATTATTCCGTTCTATTCTAATTCTTCATTCCATTATTCCGTTCTATTCTAATTCTTCATTCCAATATTCCGTTCTATTCTAATTCTTCATTCCATTAATCCGTTCTATTCTATATTCCGATTTCTATTCTGTTTTATTCTTTATTCTGATCTTCTTTTCTCTTCTAATTCTTCATTCCATTCTTCTGTTCTATTCTCTATATTCTGAGAATAGAACAGTACAGAACTTACCTTTCCTTCTTTGTCTGCCAGTCTCTGGAACATGTTGGCGTACATCTTCTTCTCCCTTTCGTGCTGCTGGCGGATCTTCAGCTGGGCGATCTGGAGCTGGGCCTTGGCCGCCTTGTTGCTTGGGTAGAGCTGCAGAACCTTCTGGAAATCCGCTCGGGCCAACTCAAAGTCATTGACGGCCAGTCTCGCCTCGCCTCGCCGGAAGAGGCCCTTCTCGTTGTTGCTGTCCAATTCCAGGGCCTGAAAGGATGGAAGGAGAAGAGCTGGGGGTTTTTTTTTTCCAAGTTTTTTATTTTTTAACATACATATAATATAATCCAAAGTAGAACATTACATCTTAACAAACATTTTTTGAATATTCAGTAATATATCAATTCCTCTTGCCATCAAGCCTCGTCAATTTTTATTGGCTTTTCTGCTTTCCATACACCATATTATAGTCTATTTCATCTTCAACTCTTCTCTCCCTCTCTCCTCCTCCCTATCTTCCCTCTACCATTTCTCTCTTCTCTACTTCCCACTGCTCTCTCTCCTCTCCCCTCTTTTCACACCTTCTTTCTCCTTCCTCTCTTCTGCTTCCCTCTCTCCTGTCTCCTCTCTTTATCTCCCTTCCAGACTCTATTTTATCTGGTGTATTTCAGCCTTTTAGCAAACTCCACTCAATATCAGTGGCATTAAGAATTATAGTCCAAAAAAACACTATTTTCCATATTTCCCTTTTAAAGGTATACTTTATATGAGTTCCATTTGTTTCCTCCCCCCATCCCACTTTCCAAAACCTCTTTTTTGGGCGAAGTGCAAGACGGATTCAAGTTTTCAGCTATCCTCATAATACCGTTACACAGTTATACATAATTAAGTGCCCATGTTGTATAAGACAGTGTTTCTCAACCTTGGCAACTTGAAGACGTCTGGACTTCAACTCCCAGAATTCCCCAGCCAGCATTCGCTGGCTGGGGAATTCTGGG